ACCACTATGATGTTCCCTCTTGTATTTCTCCTAGAAAGGCCCAGTCCACTCCAACACTTTTAAGACACCCATGGGAAAGATCTCAGATCTCAATGCCATTAAAATAACTACTTCTCAGAGCAAATAACACATTTTAATTTTATGAGCACTAGGAATCTTGTCATTGATCTTTTTTCTGTCTGCTTAAAGCTGAGGGCCAAATCTACAGTCCTCCTTTAGTAACTTTGTCGGATCTTTCAACATACATGTCCGTCTGTAAGCTAACTTTTCCTCGTGTTTCCTCTTATTATTCCTCCCTCCCTCTACACGACTTTGCTTTATCTTTTTTTTTTCTCTTTCCCTCTCTCAGATAATTTGTATTTTTAGAAGTCCTTTTGGGATGATGCAGGGTATAAACAAACCAAGAAATCAAAAATTAATAATACACCCCTCCTCCCCCAATTCCAAGCTTGCTTTCGACATTTTCACCCATATTAGCTTGCCTACAGGACAAGAAACTAAAGTGCAGCACCACCCTCCTTACTGCCACCAACGAGGGAGTGACCTTTTATATGCATTTGGGACAAGTCTGAGGACCAGAGGCCCTTCCTCCCCACTAGCTCTCAAATACACATGACCACCAATGTGAATAGTATACTGTGACTCAAGGCATTAAGGCAGAATAGCATAATCGTTAACAGCACAGACCTGAAGCCAAACTATGTGGGTTCTAATCCTGTCTGCTACCCCCACCCAGCTGCTGACTTTAGACAAGTTAACTAACCATTCTGTGCATCTTCATTTCCCCACCTGTGCAATGGGAACAATAACGGTACTGAACTCATAGGGTTACTGGGAGAAGCAAATGTGTTAATACATGTAAAAGTGTCTAGACGAGTGCCTAGCACACAGTAAATGTGGGACAGTACTATAAGAGGACACTTCTGTTTTCAATTAAGCCAGCCCACACAAAGTTTCAAGTCTGATTGACAGTAGTATTATAAATTACTAAATTACTGTAATTTAGTAAACTGTAAATTACTAAACCTACAAACCAGTTTCTATGGTGACTTTAATTATGTTTGGATCTCATTTATAAATTCATGTGGAGTTAAAGTTCTCTCTAAACCGCAGTCATGTTTAACTATGTGCTTTCTGACTTATTGAAGAGAAGGAAAAAGCAGTGATGTCAGACAACAAAAATGGTTCTTGGGAGTGTAACCCCAATTGGTAACAGGATAATCTCTAACCACACCCAAGTGTGCATGAATATGCAAGTATACATACACTCCTGCTTGTGTGTGTGCATCACACACATCCCTGTCAATGTCCCTCCAGATACAACACAGACATCATTTAATATGTCTGGAGAGATGAAAAACCTCATGCAATGTGTCCCAGGACTTTCTTTAAAATGAGTTAGTTTGTTCTGCTTGAGCACCATGGTACGAAAGAAAAGAAAAAATAAGGCACTTTGTTTAGCTATCAAAGAACAACTCTGCTTTGTTAGATACTAGAGGTCCTAATTTACATCAGAGTTTAGAAAGCTGCTACCTCATCCAAAGCACTTAAAATGCAAACTTCTCATCAGATTCCATACTTAATGCAGTGCAGAGGTCAACTCTAGCCACACCCCATCTCTGCTCAAGTCAGAGTCCGTCTCAGCTAGTTCCTTCACACGCGGCCCAAGATTTAAGTCCTCAGTGAATTATTATTCTACACATGTGAATATGTAATAATTTTTAAATAAAAAGACTTGATACTGCCACTGTATGATTGCAAAGAAAGAAAACTGGATAATTATGAAAGCTATAGTGCTTAACCAAAGTTTAGGAAAATTAATCACTGAAACTTACCTCTTGCAACGAAAGTTACTTAAAAATTCGATTTACATAAATTAAGTTTAAGCTTTCACTGTGCTGAAATTGCACAAGTTTGGAAGGAAAACCCCGAGAGTACATCGGAGCCATTCACCTTCCATTTCCAGCGTTTCCTTTAATTACCTACCCAAATGAATGCACCTGAGTTTGTTACAGTGTTGAATTGAAATGCGTCAGTATCCTTTAAATTTCCTTGTTTCTCCATGTCACAGAAAATACTCTAAGAACAGAATCAAAAGTGAACAAGGACTCTCGGCCAAGAAAACTGCTTTGAGGAACTTAGTAATCTCACCCCTCTCCAGTCTAGCACGCCAAAGTCTTTCGCAGAGCGGAGGCAAAGGACATGTACTGCAGGATAAAGTGACACTTCGGAATAGTAATAGCCGAGATTACTCTGCCGCATCCTAGCTTCTTTCCGCCGGGAGCATGAGTACAGAGTTTTCTAAATGCTCTTCCCAAGCTCCCGAGGTCAATTTCAAACTCTGCCTCTCTCATGAGTCCCGAAGGAGGCTCGCTCACCCACTCCACCCTGCAAGCAGCAACGCACTTCCCGTTCGCGCTGGCCGGTCAAGAATCCTAACTTGACAGCGCCACACTAAGAAAAGAGGAAGTGGCTAAAGGCCATTTCAAGACATATTTATTTATTTTTTTTTTTAAGGAAATCAATGGTCCTGTCTTTCCGGAAAACTTCAATGGGACGTTACCACCGCACCCGGTGGAAAGTTGCAGCGAATGACAATGTTGCAAAACCGAGGGCGACTCCTCTTTTAAAATATGTATTTTTTAAATCCTCGAAATGCTCTCGGTATCAAAAGCGATCTCTCCCCTGTACCGAACGCAATGAAGCTAAGAGCTCCCACCCTGGTGGGTCCAATCTCGGACGCGGGGCTGCGGGCGGGGTACGTGCCTGGTCCGCCGGCCAAGTGGCAGAGGAAGCGCAGGGCACAGCGGCGGCGCGGGACCCGGCGAGCGCCTCCCTTACCTGGTTTGACTGGTTTGGGTGGTGGCTTCGACATCTCGCTTCCTTGGGCGGCTAACCCTAAAGACCACGCCGAAAAGCCAACCGATCGCCCCGCCAGCCGGCACTCGGGCACCCCAGAGTTTCTTTTTGTCCGGTTTGCAGTCGTGCGCCTGCAAGCGCCCGCGCCCACCCTCGGCTGCGGGGAGAGCGGACGCAGGCAGAGCGGCTCGGCCGAGTGCCCCGCCCCGTCCCGCGGCCGCCAGAGCAGTCCCGAGCGCGCGCCGGGCCGACGAGGAAGTGGACGCCGCCTCGCCGAGCGCCAATTGGCTCTCCGGCTGGCAGCTTCGCCGCCGCGGGGGCGCGGGCGGCGCGCACGGCGGCGGAACCAGCCGGAGCCGAGCAAGGGCGCCGCGGGTGCGCGCCAGGGCCGGCCAGGCCGCGCGCGTCCCCGACGGGAAAAGGCCGGGACCGTGCCGGGCGCGCGCGCGCGGCCACGCTCGCAGCGGCCCCGCCCCAAAGGGGGCTGGATCCCGGCTCGGCGTCCGGCCCGGCTGGGAAGGAGTCTCGGGTGTCCACGTCTACCTGGCCCGGCTCTGACCCAGGAGGGCGTGGGGTAAAGGGCTATAAGCCTCTCGGTTAGCGATCAGCGGGTTGCGGCAGGTTAGTGACAGGCGCGCGCGTGGCCATCGCCCCTGCCGCTTTGCTTGAGAGGACTGGAACTGGCGCCAGGTGAGTACCTGCCTGTCCCCGCCGCGCCGCCTCACTGGAGCCTGGAGGTGTTTCCAGAGTGTTCCAGTGCAGGAACCTGGAACCTGGTTGCGTCTTGAAAATCCCGTTGGGACTCTTGCCTCTCTAACCGAGCAGCTACATGGCCTGCCGAGGAGGGCGTGTTCTCATGGTGGCTAGTGCTCTAACGCCCGGTAATAATCCTTAAAACGGGAGTGCTACCTCCGCACAGGTGTTGGGAAAGGTCACCAGGGACAGGATCAGGTCTTGCTCACCACGAGACAGTCTCATTCCCCAACATTGGAGTGGATACACTACGGCCTGCTAAGAATGTTTTCCACATTTTTTAATGGCTGAAAAGGAATCAAAAGAAAAATAATATTTTGTGGCACGTGAAAATTACATGGAATTTGTATTTCAGTGTCCATAAAGTTTTATTGGAACACAGCCACGCTCATTTGTTTATGTTATGCCTGTGGCCCCTTTCGCATTACTACCACAGGGTTGGGTAGCTGCCGGCTAAACCTAAAACATTTACTATTTAGCACTTTGCAGAAAAAAAAAATAGCTCCTGGCGTAGCAGATTGAATCTCCTGTGGGAGGCAGGAGCTAGAGCTTACACGGAAGGCAGTGGCATAAGTTCGAAATAGCATAGCCAGTATTGTAAACCAGTTGTCTATTTGGGGAAAGGAAAATTGAGAAGAAATGACCATTTACATGTGAACCTACATAAAATGAAACTTAAGAATTTCTACTAGGGATTGGTAAAAGATAAGAGTGTTTCCAACAGGGGAGGGGCATGAGTTGCATTTTCAGAAGCTTCAGCTTCGGGAGCTTTCTGCTTACCAAAGGGGAGCAAAGTTTAAACAATAGTAGGAAAAAACTGCCCTATCACATGGAAGAAGATAATCAAAATATTTGTTGAATACAATAAATAAGTGAAAAGTCCTGAAAACATTTTACTCTTTTTCACATGTCAGACTGCCCTTTACACGCGTTTGAAAAGCACAAGGCTTTGTCCTCTTTCAGACCGTTTGCATTAGGGAGTCGCTGTCTTCCTTACAGTCTACTAATTCTGCACCTGTCACTTTTCACCATTCTGCAGTGTAGAAGCCAGAATATACCATGTTTAGTAGTGAAATGGATTAACCACAGTAAACATATAAGAATTATGAAAAAACTCAACATTTTATGTAGGGTAAAAAAAATTATAAGAAAACTTAGCTTGGGGTTGCTCTTGGCTATCCTAGTCTGTTCTCCTTCTGCTATGCAAATGCTCTCTGCTGTCCAGGAACGCTTTGCACACGTTGGGAGGATAAACTACATAAATATTGCATGAGATTGAAGGTGGGTATATTTCTAGTGATAGGATGCCCTGAAATAATGAGACTAGAAAGTTCAAAGGGTTGTCTCTCCGGAGACATCAAATGATTTACAGTTTGTAGTTGATTGAGCTTGTACTTGCTTCATGAAGTCTGCTGCTGCATACGTTTGGAACCTGACAACTCTTGATTGCAAGCTTTTTAAATTTGATTTTTAATGGTTCTTAAAGAGGGCAATAGGCAGTGAAATAGTAGAAAGTGATGTGGAAGTGGACAGTGCCGGGCCTGAACTTGGAGTTCACCTGAAGCTGCCCTGTGCATCAACACTTTCTGAACTAAATGGCTTCAGGGATTGCTAGGCCCACCCCCAACCCCGCCCTAGCCACTCAGCCCAGCCACCTGTCTTGTTTCTGCATGTCCCAGTTTCCCACCCCTCCTATCACATTGTCACCTGCTCCTTGATAATGGTGTACACCCAACATTTACCCAGACTGCTAGCTAATGCAGAGTTGGGGGTTCCTGTTTTGGTAAAAACTCGAATTTCACTGTGGGATTTCCGTCCCATGCCCAGGGGATTTTCTGAGTAGGTTTACTTTATCTCACTCCAGGTTTCTGAATTGCTAGAATTTCCGTGAAAGTAACTCCCTCAAGCCTATTTCTTTTTCTTTTTTTTTTTTTTTTTTTGAGACAGAGTCTCACTGTGCTGCCCGGGCTAGAGTGCCGTGGCATCATCTTAGCTCACAGCAACCTCACACTCCTGGGCTCAAGCGATCCTCCTGCCTCAGCCTCCCGAGTAGCTGGGACTACAGGCATGCACCACCATGCCCGGCTAGTTTTTTCTACATATTTTTAGTTGTCCAATTAATTTCTTTCTATTTTTAGTAGAGACGGGGTCTCGCTCTTGCTCAGGCTGGTTTCGAACTCCTGAGCTCAAACAATCCTCCCGCCTCGGCCTCCCAGAGAGCTAGGATTACAGGCGTGAGCCACTGCGCCCAGCTGAAGCCTATTTCTTATGCTACGGCCATGCTCACTTGTTATTTGCTTGCTATGTAATTGATGCAGTAGCCACACATGTATGCACAGATGTGGCAATTAGAACGGGGACCTGTAGTCCTTTCTGTTCAATGTACACAGCAAATATATGCCCCATCAATAATACATCAGTAAGAATGACATCAATTATACATCAGAGCCTGACAATTAAGCTAGCACATGTGCAACATTCCTTCTTTGCCCTTAGTAATAAAGTGCTTTTTAGCAGCTTGGAGTGATGCAAAGAAGTTCATTGGTTTAGTTTCATTTCTGACTTTTCCAAGGTACTGGCTGTGTGACCTTGAGCAAGTCATCCATTGTCTGGGCCAGTTTCCACTTCTGCAAAATGAAGGGATGGACTAAACAATGTCTAAAGCTATATACTTCCCCAAGTTTGAGAATTTATGCTTCAACAAGCTATCCAAAAATAAGCAAGGTGGGAACAAAAAATGACAAAGGCTTATGAATTTTTATTTTATTTGACCAAGCGAGGACATCCATTTACTACCATCTACTGACAACATAATTTCATAAATTTCATAATTTACCACCAAAAAAGTAAGAACTATACCACCTCAGGATAAAGAACAGCCTCTCCCTTCCCCAAAGCAGGATAGTTGTCAGCCTTGCACTGACATATCAAAACTAAGAATAGAGTAAAATAAAATTAAAAAGCATAAAAATTACAACATAAAAATTTATTTTACAATATTCATTGTATGCAATTGTTCCCTTGATATACCTTGGCAATTTGAATTGAGATACATATTCAACAGTGTGACTCTGGGTGAAACTCAAATGCCCAACTTGTTCTGCTATTTTATTTTTATCACAGTCATTATTGAATTCTTGTCTCACATGGGTGTGTTAATGAAAGTGGAACCCAACCTTAAGCAATTGTACTCAGTGTGGAATATTCTAGATAAGTGAGAAGCAGCCAGGGAACAACAGCCCTCTCCCCACTTGGCTCTTCTCCACACCCCTCCCCAGGGGGAGCATGGACACAGATCAGGATGGGAGCACTGCTGGGGGGGGGGCGGGGGGCTCCAGCTCAGGGCCACGTGCCCTCCTGCTGCACAGCTGAGGTCCCTGAGCACCCACCCTGCACAGACAGCAATAAGGAGCAGCTGTCAGGAATGACCTTCAGGAACCACTATTCTAAGGTTCCCTCCAGCTGTGCTTCACTTTTTCACTTAGAGATGAAAATGGTCCATTGTAATATCCAAGGGCTGCTTTGGTGAACCTTAGGGGTATGAAACTGCCCTCCACCCGGTGGACTAGGAGTCAGCAAAAGAGCCTGTGGCTTAAACCTGACCTTCTGCCTGAACATTTGCAGTCAGTTTCATGATAGAAAAGATAAGCTTTGAAATCCAATTAAGGGAAATGTTAGCCCAATAAAAAAGGAATTCCATTCCTGTCATCAGTAAATCTGTGTGTCATTAGTAGGCTTGTAAAAAAAAATGAATTATGATTGTTTTGAATTTCATAAAAAATTTTGTGAAAATTTGGTTTTTTTCTTGTTATGTAAGTCCCTGCATAATAACCCAGATTTTGCCTCTTGCCCCACGAAGCCTCAAATATTTACTATCTGGCCTGTGTCCAAAAAGTTGGCCTAGCTGGGCCCTAGACTTAGGCTTTTGGGTGAGAAAATAGTGCCCTTGAAGGGCATTAGCTTCTTTTTGCCCCTGGCCAGCAGCGACTTTCTCCCTCTCCCACAAAGGGAGAGAGGCCTGCCCAGAGGGGTCCCTGCCGAGGGAGTGCTAGGTCATACCCAGGGGATTGAATCATGCAGGTGGAAGGTGACCTGGTTACGGGGAGGGTGAAACTTCAACTTCATAGACCGTGCCATGGCTAGCAACTTGTCTACACCCTGGAAAGCAGAGATGTTCAAGGGTGTGTGCTTGGCCATGAGGGCTCTTTCGGCTCACCTGACATTGGCTGACAGGCCCTGAGCGTGCACCAGCTACAGTGGCAGTGGGAAGCTCACTTAGGAAATCTAGGTAATGCGGGGCTGGGGTAGTCAAGAGATGGCTGCCATCTTTTCCTCCCAGCTGGCGCTCCTAATTTAGGACTGACTCACTTGTCTAGACATCTAAATGATACACGTTTGATTGTTTTTTTTATTTCAGGAAATATTAGGAAGACGTGATTTTCAAAGCTAATTATGAAAACATTTACTATTGGAATCAGTGGGTGAGTAATTTTGCTATAAACAGCTGGTCAAAATCCTTAGGATATCCAAATGGTGTTTTCATGCGGCTGGGATAGGGGAAGGAGAAGCAGCGAGGGATTCCAGGGTCCGAGGGAAGAGCAGGCCACTGTGGAATACAAAACCAACAGAGTCCTGGCTATGGAAATGCCAACAGGACATGGAAGACTTTCCTATAAACAGAGAAATAGAAGAGTCAGTCAACAACGCTTGCCTACTTTTCCATTTATTTTTCTGGAGCCAACACCAGAGGCGAGACCTGGTTGGCACTACTTTGGTTCAGGGTGATATATCATTCCCCATGTGGCTGCTCCTCCAGCGTAACGTAGGAGGAGATCTGTCGTATCTTTCCTGTTATGCCCAGCTTCATGCATGTGGAGTACAGAACGACCTCACCTCCATTCCTTTTCTATCGTACTTTAGGTGGCCATATATCCCAGGTACCCTGGCATAATTATTAATCATGTGCCCCCTCCCGCTCAAAAGTGCTCTAAATTATATGGTCATCCTACCTATGGCTACTAGAGGCAGGCATGGAAATAAGACATCAACAACAATTATAAAGGACATTTGTTGGCCGGGCGCGGTGGCTCACGCCTGTCATCCTAGCACTCTGGGAGGCCGAGGCGGGTGGATCGCTCAAGGTCAGGAGTTAGAGACTAGCCTGAGCAAGAGCGAGACCCCATCTCTACTAAAAATAGAAAGAAATTACCTGTACAACTAAAAATATATATATAGAAAAAATTAGCCGGGCATGGTGGCGCATGCCTGTAGTCCCAGCTACTCAGGAGGCTGAGGCAGGAGGATCGCTTGAGCCCAGGAGTTTGAGGTTGCTGTGAGCTAGGCTGATGCCATGGCACTCTAGCCAGGGCAACAGAGCCAGACTCTGTCTCAAAAATAAATAAATAAATAAAGGACATTTGTTTTGCTATCATGTTCATCTTTCTTCTATGTACATTCATATTATATGTGGCCCAATTAACAAAATATTTAAGATTATTAAAATTAAAAGTTTATAATTCTGGGGAGACCATTGTGTTACTGCATTGCTATAGTAAGTCATCCATTAGAAGTAAAATCAAGTGAACTAAATGTGAGAGCTCTGCCTTGCCTTGCCTCGCCTCCCATCTAATCAGAACTAAAGTTCAGTTTTTCTCTGCAGTACTTCTCTTGTCCTTCCCTTCCTTTTCACACTCACCATCCTAATTCAGGCTGTCATTCTCTAATTCTAGTCCCCCCTTCCTAATCTTTCCTATACACCTCTGCCAGTTTAATCTTCATACAAAATGTTTTAGTTTTTTCTCTGCCTGGTGAATTATACTCGATGGTTCCCAGTTATCTAGAATGAAATCTGAATATCGTGGTATATGAGGGCCATCCATAAATAATAAAGGAAATTCATTAGCCTGAGCGGTAGGCAGGCTGCAGGAAAGGTTTGATACAGCAGCTCAGTGGTATTGCCAAAGACAGTCTCTTTCTCCTTTGTGTCTTCCTTCATTTGGATTCATCCAAGCAGCGCCTTCTGACTGCATGCGTCTTCATAGCCTGCCACTGCTGGGGGCGGGGTGCTTCTCTTCCCCTACGTCATGGGTCTCCCTTTCACTGGACCAGCTCACTGCGCATACCCCGAGTCACTGTGGTGATAGGGATGGGATTACATTATTTGTTTGGGCTGACGGGTGCTGTTCTGGAGTTAAGAGTGGCATCAGTCACTACCAGGCCTCAAGAAAAGGCATGGAACCTGGGGAGGCAACTATTATGCAAAGTCCACTGCAGGATCCAATCCAACTGTCATGAGGTACCATCATAACTCCCTAAGAAAGCCTCCTTTCCACTGTCTCTTCTTAGCGAGTGTCATGATTTCATTTCAGTGCTGCTGCTTCTGTGAGGCCCATGCCAGACTCACCGACAGTGACTTCTGTTCCTGCCTTGCATCCTTCCTCCAAACCCACTGTGCTGTCTTTCTTATATACCTAACCACGTGCTCCCCTATGAAGTAATTATTTAGGCGAGACTGCAGGGAATAGTAGGGGTTCTGAAGGAATTCGAGGGGCATCCATGAACCTCCTGAAAATTTAACATATGTGTGAAGATGTTCATTTTTTCTGAGGAAAGGGCTTATAATAACTTCATCAGATTCTCACAAAGTTCCACAATGTAAAAAAGCTTAAGATCCATGCTGGAGTTAGACTTTGTATCCCATCTCCATTACTTGTTAGTTGTTAGTTACCTTGGGCAAGTTTCATTAGTATATAACTTCTTAATCCTTGATTTCCTCAACTGGAAAATGGGTGTATTAATATCTACCTGTTACAGAAGGGATTCTCCACCTGTTTCATTACAGACAACTTTTTTAACTTCTCCGTAACTGTCATGTTCCAAATACAATGAGCCCTCTCATTACCTGGCACATGAAAAATAAATGGGCCAGGAGTTGTGCATTTATTTGAATGTTGTGAAGAAAGAAGGAAGTGACACCAAGTAGTCAGATCCTGGATAGAGCATGCTCGAGGCACTCTTCACCTCTGTTTAGATGCACGTTCGAGGGAGGTTGTGAGCACGCCAAGCGGGAGGCTGAGTCCTAAGCTGTTACCTGACCAGGACAATTGCATTTCAAGTATGGGTCCTAGGCTCCAGCTTGTTTAATATCTTTTCTCCTGTCTCTTCCCTACGACCTAGACTGTCCTCTAGCTTGTCCATCTCCAAGGCTTTTATAAAAACGGGGTGCTTATTTCTCATTGGCTCCAGCTAAGTCAGTGAGAAGGGATCTAATTAGTATTGGTTCGACTGCATGATCTTAACAAAAGACATAAGTCTAGAAAAACACATTTTCTAGCCAAGTTGCATGTATCGTAATAAAGTTACCCATTTACCATCTATTTTAAACCAAACTCAGTTTCTGAACTATGGACATTCAGTATGGTTTACAGACATTTTTGTTAAAGAGGAAAAATGACATAATATTTTCTCAATACATAAGGTAACACCCACTCACTTTTCCTTGTTTTTAAAGAGATTGCCCATATCCTACCCAACTATGTATTATAATGTTAAACAAAAAATCTCATTAACCAAGTTCTTCTACTTTGTAGGGGTAAGATATTTAGGTAATAATTGAATTATATGCAACAAGCTATTTTGATGAATATTACTTCATTTTCCCTTTTCTAGATTATAAACGTTTTGGAATTGATCTCTTCTGGGATTAAACACAGGTTCTTGCAAATAGATGTATAGTCAGGAGTTTTTTTGTGCTGTGGACATTTGGTGGTGTGGTGAAGTCTTGACTTCCTCTCAGAGTGATGGTGGGGTTTTTTTGGGTTTTTTTTTTCAGAGACAGGGTCTCACTCTGTCACTCAGGCTGGAGTGCAGTGGCACAATCATAGCTCACTGCAACCTTGAACTTCTCTGGGCTCAAGCGATCCTCCTGCCTCGGCCTCCCAAGTAACTGGGACCACAGGTGTGCACCACCACACCAGGCTAATTTTTTATTTTTTTATAGAGATGGGGTCTTGCTATGTTGCCCAGACTGTTCTTGACCTCCTGGCCTCAATAGATCCCCCTGCCTCAGCCTCCCAATGTGCTGGGATTACAGGCATGAGCCACTGTGCCTGGCCTAGAATAATGACTTTAAATGCACAAAATAAAATACAGAAATACAAAGGAAATCAGTTATACTGAAATATAGTTATAAAATATTTTAAAAGAAAAATTTGTGACATTGTGATACATACACTTCTTTGTTAACATATTAAATAACAATACCCAGTGGTGGGTCTAAAAATGAGCATCAATGGTACTTCACGATATCTACCCCAACTATAACATAATATGAAAATATCTATGAGGGTGAGAAGTGGAAGGAGGGTGGATGATGTGATGGGAGGTTGCTTTTTGGGTACAGTGTGTGTTGTTCCAGTGATGGATGCACTGAAGGCCCTGACTTCACCACAGAGTAATATATCAGTGTAACAAAATTGCACTTGTACCCCAGGAATATATACAAATAAAAAAATTTTAATAAAGTACAATAAATAAATAAACACTAGATGCTCTAAAAAAAGAAAATATCTGTAATCTCTTGGTGACAAAGTCACAGGTGCTTACATTCCTTGTATTTATAATTAAAGGAGATTCTAAATTTTTGTTAGAATTGGGTGAAACTAAAAATATAATTTCTTTCCCATTCAAGTTCACAAAGACCCTGAGTTCTGTCCACAGACACTCTGAAGGTTCATAAGCCCCAGGTTAAAACACTCTTTGAGTTAATGACTGAATAGAGACGTGCCTCCTGGGTGGGAGGCTGGATGCTGGGAAAGTAGACAGAGGAGTTAGGTGCCCATTCTCCTCGATGTCAGTCCAACCAGGAGGGACAAATAACTGACCTGATGTGACAACCTACAAAGGACCGCCCCCCCCCGCCCACCTACCCCGCAAGGTGAATAGAGATGGGGAAAAGGCATCACAGAGAAGGAACTTCATTGTTGGCCTCTAATAAGCCACTCTATCTTTTGTGCTGTACATTGGAACAAAATCACAATGACCATGTGCACTTTTACACACTTGGACTAAAATGTGCTCGTATTCTCTCTGTTGCATAGCAACCTTGTGAATGTTTTGCCAGAGACAAAAATTACTTTGGTTCCAACATAATATCTGTATTTTTAAGTCTTAGCGTTGCCCAGATCACTTGCCCAGTAGTTAATTGCCTTTCTCCTCCATCCTTCCCAGCTTATTTATCATTTAGCACATCATATCTGCCAATGTCCATGGTTTTGCCAACAGAAAAAGCAATATCTATGAAAGAAATCACTTTTTTCTTAAGAAAATATTGCATTAAGTATCTTATTTTTAAAAGATCATTTTAAAGTATTTTATTTTTTTTAATGCATTTTCCTTCTTGGTATTTTCTATTTTTTTCTTTGGTTTAGTGTGACAAATGGTGGGAAGACAACACTAGCTAAGAATTTGCAGAAACACCTCCCAAATTGCAGTGTCATATCTCAGGATGATTTCTTCAAGGTATCTATAAAACTTCTTAGATCATTTATTTAACATAAAAATGTTTAATGAGAAAATTAATTGAATGTACCTTTTATGCCGAAGGTAGGCTCAGTGCAATAGTGTTATTCATCCACCAGATGGCACCCTCTATGGGTGCTGATCTTGGATTTTATTTTTCATCGCCCAAGCATTTTTTAAAGGCTTATCTCCTCTTTAGTCTATAATTGCATTATTTCTACCCTACACATTATTTTAATGGGTACTTTATTATTTTTCCAGCCACAGTCTGAAATAGAGACAGATAAAAATGGATTTTTGCAGTATGATGGTAAGTAGATTAGCTTGTAAAACATTATGTGCTTTTTGTTCATTTTCTTTTTGAAACTCGAACAACTTCACTCTCTTTGAAGACAGTCTTAAAATATGTTTAAATATATTGCTATACTTTAAACCTGCCTTTGTAGGTTTCATATTTATGGTGAACTGATTTATGTTGAATTATTTAAAGAAATGCAATCCTTTCCTCAGTTTTATATTTAAAACTAAAAACATTGGAATGAGAGATTTTTCTTCTGAAGCTGGGGCAAAATAGGTTCACTGTTCCTCTGTTCATTCCTTCACTGGACACACATACCTAACTATACTTACCATCTCCAATCCCTAGAGCAACCTCTAAGCTCTCATCCTCTCAGCTTTCCTTCCTGGTGGCCAAAGTACTGGACAGGTGTTTTGTTTTGTTTTTTTGTCTTTTCACTGCTTAGAAAGGTTTGTGAATATATTTTAGATAGACGCACCTCATTCCTTTACCTCCAGCTGACACTGTTTTGAAGCCAAAGGTTTAAAGTCCATCAGAAAACATTTATTTTCCTATAGAGAATATTATGCTAATAAACTATGTTATATTTAATGATCTTATTAACTTTTATAATTAACAAGATGATCATTGAGTACTTATGTAACCTAGCAACAGAAAGAGCTCCCTTAAAATATCAGAAAGTATGTTCTTTATTTTTAACTTTGATAACCTTTTGGGAAAATGTTACATAATCATTTCTTACAAACACGTGATAGTTTTAAGCCAGGCAATATTCTTGACTCACTCTGTATTCCTGTGTCTTGAGCTGTAGCCAAGATATTTTTTTTAATTCTCTTCCTCTTATCCAAAGGCTAGTGAGAAAAATTATTACTAAGTAAGAGAGAAACCAGGAAAACCTGTTTTCAGCAATTCCAAAGAGTTATTATTCCTACTTTGTTTTATGACCTCATCTTAACTAATTATATACTAATCATTCTATCACCCTGAGTAGAGTACGGTGTTGTTGCTCCATAAATTAATATAAATATATTGGAGACAGAAACGTCTCAGGAGTTTTGCAGAGCTTTGCCCTGAAGGAATATGTGAACGTATTAGTTTGCGTATCGAAAGCTGTTTCATCATCGTAGCTCACTGCAGCCTCAAACTCCTGGACTGAAGCAGTTCTCCTGCCTCAGCGTCCTGAGCAGCTGGGACTACAGGCTCGCACCACTACACCCAGCTAATTTTTTTACTTTTTGTGGAGACAAGGTCTCACTGTGTTGCTCAGTTTGGTCTTGAATTCCTGGCCTCAAACGATCCTCCTACCTTGGCCTCCCAAGTGCTAGATTTATAGGCGTGAGCCACTGTACCTGGCCTGTTATTCATGCTTTTTAACAAATTCCTGCAAACTGGTAAGAAAAACTAATATTCCATTAGAAAAAGTGTCTAAGGATATAAATAAACTATTCACAGAAGCAGTAGGTTATTTCATTAATAAATGTACAATAAAAAGTCAATCTGGAAGAATTACAAATCACTTTTTCCCCCACTTACCAAGTAAACAAAGATTTTTAAAGCAATGATAATTATCTAATGCTGTCATGGGCTCAAGAAAACAATAACTGTCATACAGTTTAGATGGAAGTATAAACTGATCCACCTTTTTAGAAGGGAGGTTGATCATATGTCCCAGAGACCTTAAAATGTTCATACCATGAGTTCATGTATCGCGCATCCAGGTGTCTATCTTAAGGAAAGATTTGAAGTATTCAGGTAAATGTGCAAATTTAAGGTAAGTCAAGATGATACTGAAATCTTTATAACCACTACAAGAATAGTTTAAAAATGTATAACTATTTCCTCTATAAGTTTATAGAGGAAATAGATAAAATCATTACAATATAGTTGCTAAATACAAAAAAGTATGAAACAGAGCAATAGAAGATCAAAGGATGATGTAAAAATAGAAAATAGTAGTGAAATGATAAATTTAAACCCAAATATATCAGTAGCTACATTAACTTAAGGGAACTAAAATGCCCCAAGGATTGTCAGGCTGCATTTTTTTTTTTAAAGCCAACAATAAGCCCCTCAAAAGAGATAGATTTGGCCAGGTGCCGTGGCTCACGCCTGCAATCCTGGCACTCTGGGAGGCTGAGGCAGGAGGATTGCTTTAGGTCTGGAGTTCAAGACCAGTCTGAGCAAGAGTGAGACCCCATCTCTGCTAAACATAAAAAAATTAGCCAGGTGTGGTGGCACGCATCTGTAGTCCCAGCTACTCAGGAGGCTGAGGCAGGAGGATCACTTGAGCCCAGGAGTTTGAGGTTGCTGTGAACTAGGCTGATGCCACAGCACTCTATTCAGGGCAACAGAGCAAGACTCTGCCTCAAAAAAAAAAAGAAAAAGAAAAAGAAAAAAGAGATAGACTTAAATATAAGGATGTAGAAAGGTAGGTAGTAAAAGGCTAGAAAAAGATATACTATGGAGACACCTACTGAAAGAAAACTAGTATAACTCTACTACCTGTAATAATACCAGACATACCTTAATAAGCTTTAAGGCAGAGTATTACTAGAGATAAAGAGGGATAAATGGGTTACTTCAACAGGAAAACACTCTAAAATTTGTATGCACCCAATACCACAACATGAGAATACATTAAGTAAAAGCTGACAGAACTAAGAAGAGAAATAGGCAAATCCACAATTAGTGTGGAAGATTTTAACACACCTTCCTTTGTGTTACTAGTTTGCTAGGGTTAACATAAGAAAGTACCACAGACTGGATTGCTTAAATGACAGAAACTTACTGTCTCACAACTCTAGAGGCTGGAAGTCCAAGATCGAATCGTCTGCAGGGTTGGTTCCTTCTGAGGGCTGTGCGGGAGACTCTGTCCCATGCCTCTCTCCTGGCTGCTGCTGGTTTGCTGCAGTCTTGGGCACACCTTGGCTTCATCTTCTCATGGTGTTCTCCCTGTGTGTGTCTGTGTCCAAACTTTCCCCTTTTGTGAGGACACCAGTCATGTTAGATTAGGGGCATGCCCTACTGCGGTGTGACCTCATCTTAACTAATTACATCTGCAATAACTATATTTCTAATTTCCAACTATATTTCACATTGTGAGCTATTAGGGGTTAGGACTTTAACATATGAATTTCAGGGGGACACAATTCAACCAATAGAAGTAATTAATGGAACTAGCGAACAAAAATTACTAATAATATAACAGATTTGAACAGCATAATTAACAAACTTGACCAAACTGACAAGTATAGAACATGCACCGCAACAACAGCAGAATACATATTTTTTCTCAAGAGTACATGGAACATTAGCCCAAATAGACCATATAAGCAAGGGCATGGAGCAAGTCCTAATAAATTTTTAATGGATTAAAGTAATGTTAATACAAAGATATCCTATAATCACAGTGAACTGAATTAGAAATCAATAACAAAAGGGTGAATAGAAAATTCCAACTGTTTTAAGATTAAGCAGTACCTTTTTTTCTGATTTTTAAAATCTTTTTCTAGTGGAAGATTTCAAACATATGCAAAAGTAGCTAGAAAACTATAATGAACTCTCTCATGGGTTCACTGTCCAGTTTTAATGATGATGAACTCTTGGCCTGTTATATTTTATCTATAACCTCATTCACTTTCTCCTTCTGTATTGTTTTTTCTTTTGAGACAGAATTTCATTCCGTTGCCCAGGCTAGAGTGCAGTGGCATCATCATAACTTACTGCAGGTCCAACTCCTGGGCTCAAGCGATCCACCTGCCTCAGCCTCCTGAGTAGCTGGGACTACAGGCATGCACCACCACCAGCTATTTTTTAAATTTTTCATAGAGATGGGGTCTCACTATGTTGCCCAGGCTTTTCTTGAACTCCTGGCCTCAAGCAGTTCTCCTGCCTTGGCCTCCCAAAGTGCTGGGATTACAGGTGTGAGCCACTGCACACAGCCCTTCTGTATTATTTTGTAGCAAATCCCAAACATCATTGCATTTTATCTTAAGCAAAACACTTACATATTCCATGGGTCAAAAGATAAATCACAATAAGAAAATATTTTTAACTGAATGATAACAAAACTATATCAAAACTAGTAGGACTCCTGGTTCCAGCCAAGAGGAATTAGCTCCATTCCTCACTGGTCCTCCCTCTTACAACTACAAACCCTGGACTTAATATAACAGAGAAGGGAAGACTGAAAGATGAAGAGGGTAAGCTGGCTAGGGACTTCAGCCCTTGAGGGCTGACATGGCCATGAGCTCCTTGGGTTTTCTCTTTGTCTCCTATGTATCCAGGATGAGATGCTGGAGAAGTGCACAACATGGAACCATCAATAGGCACAGACAGAAGAAGCATCAAGAAACCTGTCCTCTGTAATCAAAGGACCAGGAAAAGCGTGGCCTAGCAGAATAGAAAACCTTTTTGATAATATCCAGCCTGCTCTAAGCCAAACACAAGGAAAAACCATCTTCCCCTCATGGTGTTAGCAGAGCCAAATGGGGAGCTAGACGTCCAGATCCACCCAGCATCAGCAAGGCAGGGCGAGTTGGCAGTCCACATCACCCACAGGCTTTGTATCAGAGGAGCGAAACAGGGAACTGCACTTTCACCCCCACCTGGCAACACAGAAGCAGAGGGAGGCAGTGTGCAGTGGAGCAGTTTGGCACTCCACCTTCTCACTCTGGCAGTGTCAGCTCCTGTGAGCAGGACCGAGTGGAAAACTGGACTTCTGCCCTCACCTTGCAGCAATGAGGCTGAACTAGACTTTGCTTTCCCCCTTTACCCCAAGGAACCTCCCTCGATCCACAGGCCCAGCAGGAAGCTGAACATCTACCACCACCCCCCAGACCTGCACACTACACCTCAACAGGGTGACTGCCAGCAAAAAACAGATTAAATAGGATCCAGAATCTCGTAACACAACACCTGAAGTTTCTAGGACAGAAATCACTTGTCATACCAAGAACCAGGAAATCTAACTTGAATGAGAAAAAACAGTCAATAGGCACCAATACCATGATGACATAGATGTCAAAATTACCTGACCAGAATTTTAAAGCAGCATTATAAAAAGGCTTCAACAAGCAATCGCCAACGTGCTTGAAATACGTGAAAAATTAGAACACCCCAGTAAAAAAAGTATAAGATGTGAAAGAAGAACCAAATGGAAATTTCAGAACTGAAAAAATACAATAACCAAAATGTTAAAACTCACTGGATAGGCTCAGTAACAGAATAAATATGACAGAGGAAAGAAACAGTGAACTCGAAGATGGAAAAACAGAAATTACTCAGTCTGAACAACAGAAAATGGACTAAAAAGAAATGAACAGAAGAGTGCAACAGTAACAAAAGTTCTAATATCCATATCATTGGAGTCTCAGAAAGGAGAAAGAGTATGGGACTAAAAAAGTATTCAAAGAAGTAATGCTGGAAAACTTCTCAAATTTGGCAGAAGATGTAAAACTTCAAGAGTCTGGGCCGGGCGTGGTGGCTCACACCTGTAATCCTAGTCTGGGAGGCCGAGGCGGGTGGATCGTTTGAGCTCAGGAGTTCGAGACCAGCCTGAGCAAGAGCAAGACCCCGGTCTCTACCAAAAATAGAAAGAAATTAATTGGACAGCTAAAAAAAATATATAGAAAAAATTAGCCGGACATGGTGGCACGTGCCTGTAGTCCCAGCTACTTGAGAGGCTGAGGCAGTAGGATTGCTTGAGCCCAGGAGTTTGAGGTTGCTGTGAGCTAGGCTGACGCCATGGCACTCTAGCCTGGGCAACAAAGTGAGACTCTGTCTCAAAAAAAAATAAATAAATAAATAAAAGAAAGAAAGAAATTAAGATATGTAATGCAGGAAATAGGTTCAGG